AGATAAATGGAAAGAAAAATCTCTTCTAGCCCATTATCATTCAATTTCCAAGATTAAATCACAGATATTATTTAGTAACAGTGATATAAAACAGGCAAATTATTTTCAAAAGAGCTACAGTAAAATAATAAATCACTTTCTCAATAAATAAGGGAAGCAAAAGAAAATAGAATGTCCATTTTAAAGTGTTGAAAGAAAACAGTTGGAAATCTAGAATTTCTTATCCAGTGAAACATCCTTTAAAGATGAAGGGGAAATAAAGAAAATTTAAGTCAATATCAATAGCAGTTAAGAATTAAACATCAGGCGCTGGGTGTGGTGGTGCATGCCTCTAATCCTGTGTCTGTGAGGCTGAGGCAGGAGGATCTCTGCGAGTTGAAGGCCAGCATGGGCTCATAAGGGAGTGCAAGCCCAGCCTGCACTACCTGCCAAGACTTTGCCTGAAAAAAAATTTTAAACTCCTGGAGACTTGTACTTGAAATGTTAAGGGAGTTCTTGAATTAGAAGAAAAATTATACTAGATGCAGACATAGTAATGCAGGAAGGAATCAAAGACTCTCTGAAATAAAAATGTATGAATAAATAAAAAGGCATATTGTCTGTTTAAACCAATGCTGATAGGATGTTCTAATATTCAAAATATGTATACATTTACAGCATGTTAGCACTACTATAACAGGAAGCAATAAGTGGAATGTAAATGTTAAAAGTCCTCACACTGTCTGAGTTTGTAAAAGTAATAAAATAAATATTAATAGGATACTAATAAAATTTAAATATTTCAAGGATACATATCATAATTTCTGGTATACATCTAAAATACAACTAAAAGCACACAGAAACAATAAGCTAATGAATTGAGAGAAACTGAGTCACAGAAAATCCAAAGAAAAGTAAGAAAGGAAAAGAGGGTACCAGAGTAGGAAAATAGAGATTAAAGAATAATATTATAGGCTTATGTCCTTGTCTTCATGTTTTCAAGCTGCTATAGCAAAATATTATAATCTATGTATCCTACAAACAAAAGAAATTTATTTCTCATAGTTCAGGAGGCTGAGAAGTTCAAGATCATAGTTGCAGAATATCTGGGGTCTCACGAGGGTTTTTTTCCTAGAGTACCACATTAATGCTGTAACCTCAGAAGGCAGCTCTCTGGGGCCTCTTTTACAGGGCATTAATCTCATTTGGGGGGGGGGGCTATGAAAATGCAAGGAAGGGTCAAGCACAGGACAGACATTCCTATTCTAAAAGGCAGAACAAGGAAAGAAGAAAAGAGAGATAGACCCTAATCATGTCTAAACTCCAATGGGACACACTATAGTAAACTGTAAACCTTGAGGATTAGCAATCCTTTTTGATTTGGAGGCTACTCCTGTGGCATCTCTGTACCTTGGTTCTGACCTGGCTGTCCGCACCTGGAACTTCACATTGAAGGATGGTCCTGCGCCTTCAGCTTTGCTGGGCATTGCCCTAGCAGAGTCCCTCTCTGGTGGCCCTATGCTTGCTTGGACTTCTGTACTCTGGGCCTGTGATGTGAGGACAGCCTGATGATTTCTGAATTACCTTGCTCATGATCTTGAGCAGTAGATCTTGGCTCCTTTTAAATCTTAACATCAGATAATGTAGGTTGGCATTCTCTTGGTGTTCTCTCCTAAGCAAGGCTTCTCATTCCTTTCAACGTGGATATACTGAACATTTCACAAATCTTTAAATTCTGTTTCCTTTTTTATTAAAATTCCATCTTTGAATCATCTCTCCCTTCTCAGATTTTGTTACAGTCAACATGTTCTTTTGGCATTTTATTTAGATTTTCCTCAGCTATATGTCCAATTTCATGATTCATAAGTTCTACCATTTCAAAACATGATTTGGTTAAGTTCTTTGCATTTTATAGCATGGAATACATTTCATTCATTTTCTGATAGCATGCTCCAATAACAAAGGACCTTAGAAGAATGGTCTGTCCTAAGCTCTCATCACCTTCCCCTTTAAAGGGCCATTCAAGACACTGTAGGGATTTTATAGAAGCCACTTCAAAATTCTTCAGTCCTCTACCCATTACCCATTTCAAAACCTGCTTCCACATTTAGGTATTTGTTTCAGTAACACCTCACATCTTGGTACCAATGTGCTCTTTTAATCTGTGTGGGCTACTATAATAAGACAGTACCAACTAGCTGGGTAAGTAGCAGCACAAGTTGATATCTCAGTTCTGGAGGCTGAGAAGTCAAGACCAAGGTGGCAGAAATTTGGAGTTTTTTAAAATCCTGTTTTCTAGATGATCATCACTGTCACCTCATAAGATGGCAGGATAAGGGTGCTTTCTAGGGCCTTTTTTTTTTGGTACCAGAGATTGAACTCAGGGCCTTGCACTTACCAGGCAAGTGCTTAAGCTGCTGAGCTATATCCCTAGCTAACTTTTTTTTGTACTGGGGATCGAACTTGGGACCACTGTGTGCTTGCAAGGCAGGTGCTTATGCCACCAAGCTAAATCCACGACCCCTGAGGGCATTTTGAATAATGGGACAAATCCTAGTAGGAGCAAGCCACCCTCAAGGTCTAATCATGTCCTAAAGTTCCTATCACCCAATGTCATCCCACTGGAGATTAAATTTTAATAATGTATAATGGGATCATATCCTTATCAATGCTTTATAAATTGAAAATTTCATAAGCCAAAAGTGCATATAACACACCTCACTTAGCAAACATCATAGGTAGCTACAGTATAGGGCAGTGGTTGCGAACCTACGACAGGCATACTCAGTTGGCTGTTATCACTGCAAGCTCTAAAAGGTTCAGCATCTCTTGTACTGAAAATCGGTTGTTAGCTGCAGGACTGACCAGGAGCTACAACTTGCTGCTGCTGTCCACTGTCACAAGAGAGCATCACGTCACGTGGCCTCTCAAAATTCGAGGTTTAAATTACAGTTTCTATTTCATGTGTATCACAAGACTGAAAAATCATTTGTTAGCCATTGCCAGCCAGGGATGATCTGTACATGAATTTGTGGAGAACACAAGAGTTTAGACCTCATGGTAACACTGTTATCTACTAGTTTATTAAATGCACAATGAATTAAACTTTCCAATTCAGAGAAAAGTGTCATTAGACTGGATTAATAAAGCTTTATAATGCCTACATAAGACATACTACACAAATAAGAACACAGAAAGGTTTAAAGTTAAACAAGTAAAAATGGCATGCTATGGTAATACTACGGAAACAATTCAGGCATACTGATGTCAAAAGAGGAGACCACATGCAACAAAAAGCAGTCACCAATTTAAGGAGCTTATAGTCACAGAAGAACCCATTGGAAAATATAACAATCTGAAATTGTGGGCACCTGATAACATGGAACCAAATTAGTCAGAACTGAAGGAACTAAAAGTATAAATAGATAAATCCACAGTTGTTGACTGAGATTAGTACAGCACTTCTGGTAACTGATAAAGCAGACAAACGTATCACTAGTGAGAACTGAACAACACAATTAACACATGTGTGCGGTTAGCTACCATATATAGTGTTTTTCACTCAACAAAATGCAAAACAAACCTTACTTTCCAGTACACTTGAAATAACTGGAAAAATATCTACTAGGAAGTAAGTTTCAACCAATTCCCGTGAATCAAAATTGTACGTGTTCTCTGTTTACCGTGTAACTAAGCCGAAAATGAGTAACAGAAAATAGAAAATCTCCACATTTGAAACTGTCAACTATAAGCATGTACATATTTACATTCAATGTATACATACACACATATGTGTGAATGTTTATATGTACGCTAAATATAATTTGCTTTTTATTTTTCTTAACATTGCTGGTGTTTCTTTACTTAATGTTCTTTATGGACGTAGTCTATGAATTTCCTGTCATTTTAGTTTTTGACTCAAAACATGAAACCGCAGAAGAATCAAAATGTGTGTAATCCTGGTTAAAAAGAAAAATAAAAAAGAATGGGTTAAGGAAAGGGTTTGTATTTCTGGTCCCATAGGTGTCCTCCTCTGGCCACTTGTGGTTTTTTTTTCTCAGTATTTCAGATTCTACCTTCTCAAAGGCATTAATTATAAAGGAACAGACATACACTGTATTTAGGCTTTGCCTGCTTTTGGGGCAGGAATTTATTAGAGGGCAGAATCCAGTGTTTTATTTTACTGGCTCTGCCAAAAGGAAACAAAGAGGGGCAAATAAAACTTGGAACCAGTGTTTAGTTTATTTCATTCAATCCTAGGAGGAACTGCAATGTGCTTTAGGTGCTGTCCCCTTTCTGGAGAAAGCACCTGAGGTCCAGGGGCCACAGTAATAACTGAGCCCCAGCTTCTGCCTGCCCTCCCTCAGCAACCCTAAGCCTTGACTACAGGAAATTCTCATTACTGGGAGAAGCAGGAAGGTACATTTGATGAGCAGGAGAGCGCCTTGAAAGATATGTGACATTCTATGAAATATGCATAACAATACCCTGAAAATCCTTCAAAAGTGTTTGTCTACATTAGTCTTTACATGTACTTTTGGAAACAAGAAAGTAGCCAAAATTGTCAGCCATTATTTAACACGCACAATCTTTTTAATCTTTAAAGACTAGACTATTAGAAAACGAGTTATTTGTGTTTAAAAAATTGCATTCACTTTCCCTTTCGGTGCAGCACCATGGGATGCAAATAGTTTCAAATTCCAGATTAATTCTCCCGTTTGGGGCATGGCGGCCTTTAAGATGTGGAATGGAAGTCTCGACCGCATTATTTTCCTTTAAACACAGATAGCCAGCACTTTAAACTTATTTTTCCTGAATTTAATTCCTAATAGGAAAGGTTTTTATTATTTCACATGGAGTGAGGTTCCACTCCTGGAAGGAAGAAAAGAATCCCTTGTATTCTAAGGGATGCTGCTTTCTGTTGTCCAAGTTGCTTTACTAGGAGCGGGGCCAGCAGGGTCGGCGGAGAGCAATCGCGGCTGCGCGGTTCCAGCACTCCCAGGCGCGCAGGAGGGACACGCGGATGCGCGGGCAGCTGCCTCTGGGAGGAGGACACCAGGCCAGCGGGCGCTGCGGTCCCTTCCCGCAGCCAGCCCTCTGTGGTGCTGACCTCTCCAGGGAAAGCAGACCCCTTCCTGAAGCCAGCCAGGTAAGGTAAAGATTGTGGTTTGGATTGCTGCACCAAAGGCGCAGGAGCCTGGGGAGGGGGACTGAGTTTGGCTCTGTGGGTTTTGGTGGGGTGAGCAGTGTGCCCAGAGTGTTGTAAGAGGGGAATTTGCTTGCATGTTTGCTATCAGGAGCAAAGACGGCTCCATCTAGCACTTTGATGTTTTGAACTGGTTGCAAAGAAATTTCAACAGGTGGGAGATGTTTGCGGCGCAGAGCCGCCCCCACCTGGAATCTGCCTGCATCTAAAGCTTTTCGTCGAGGAGCCTAACTTCGCATTTCAACCCTGCTTTCCAGGCTCGTAAGCTGCGGCCACAGTGGGCTGAGGGTGGCAGGGACGCCCCTCCCCTCGGAAAGCCGGAAAGGGGCTCAGAGCGCAGCAGCCGGTGCCCGAACCCAGGTCCGTGTAGACGCGGGTTCCAGACCGCGGAAACCCTGCAGGCAGCCTTGCGGGACTCGCACTCGGCTCGCCGCCGGTCCCCTGCCCTGGCCGAGATGCACAACGCATCCTCTGCGGAGCCGGACCAGGTCAACGCGTCCTGCCGGGCTCCGGCGCTGGGCTGCTCCAACGCTTCGAACCCGGAGCCGCTGCCGCTGCCGCAGCCGCTGGCCGTGGCCGTGCCGGTCGTCTACGCGGTGATCTGCGCGGTGGGGCTGGCGGGCAACTCGGCAGTGCTGTACGTGCTGCTGCGGGCGCCGCGAATGAGGTCCGTCACCAACCTGTTCATCCTCAACCTGGCCATAGCCGACGAGCTCTTCACGCTCGTGCTGCCCATCAACATTGCCGACTTCCTGCTGAGGCGGTGGCCCTTCGGGGAGCTCATGTGCAAGCTCATCGTGGCCATCGACCAGTACAACACCTTCTCCAGCCTCTACTTCCTCACCGTCATGAGCGCAGACCGCTACCTGGTGGTGCTGGCCACCGCGGAGTCGCGCCGTGTAGCCGGCCGCACTTATGGCGCCGCGCGCGCCGTGAGCCTGGCCGTGTGGGGGCTGGTCACGCTGGTGGTGCTGCCCTTCCCGGTCTTCGCCAGGCTCGACGACGAGCACGGCCGGCGCCAGTGCGTGCTGGTCTTCCCGCAGCCCGAGGCCTTCTGGTGGCGGGCCAGCCGCCTCTATACGCTGGTGCTGGGCTTCGCCATCCCGGTGTCCACCATCTGCGTCCTCTACATCACCCTGTTGTGCCGCCTGCGCGCCATTCGGCTGGACAGCCAGGCCAAGGTGCTGGACCGCGCCAAAAAGCGGGTGACCTTCTTGGTGGTGGCGATCCTGGCCGTGTGCCTCCTCTGCTGGACGCCCTACCACCTGAGCACCGTGGTGGCGCTCACCACCGACCTTCCGCAGACGCCGCTGGTCATCGCCATCTCCTACCTCATCACCAGCCTGAGCTACGCCAACAGCTGCCTCAACCCCTTTCTCTACGCCTTCCTGGACGACAGCTTCCGGAGGAGCCTCCGCCAGCTGATGGCCTGTCCCACGGACTCCTGACTACCCCGCGCGCCCGGCTTCTCCACCAGTCCTGCCCTCCACAGCCCGAGAGTGGTACCCCACAGGCAGGAGCCGCCTGAGAGTTGTACCCATTGATAGAAAGCCTCGGTGTCAGGGGAACACTTGCTAGGGATGCAGATTCTCAGGCCCCAATCCAGACCTACAGACCTGGGAGATTTGCAATAGCGCCCGCAGTTTTTATGTCCAGCCCCTCCGGTGCCTCCCTGCCATGAGGAGCGCTGTAGCCGAGATCATCGTGCTGAGCTCTCCCTAAAGGAGGGCAGGGGTCGAACCCTGATCTTGGCACAGGATCCAGTTAAGTAGAAAAGGGCATTTCGCTGACCCGAAGCTCTCCAGGCCAGGGCACTTGGCTACCGAGGCTGTAGGAGGCGCCCTCAGGCGCCCAGGCGCAGGCTCTGTGCTCGCTTCTGCGCTTCCCTTCTTTGCCTTTGGCGGTGATTGTGTGCTTTTGCGCCAGCTGGGGAAGGTCCTGGCCTGGTACTTGTGCGCCTCGGTGTTCGCTAAGTGCTGGGGAAGAGGGACAAACCCACACAGTCCGTGCTCATCTCTCCAAGGTCCCCTTTTAACCCCAGGTTTCACCCCAAAGTGCTCCATGATTGTTGCTCTGCGGGAACCTCGCTTGCCCTGATCGGAAACAGCCAGGAGCCGGAGCCAGGAGTAGTTGCAGGGCACAGCAGGGGTTTTTCTGGTGGGGCAAACCGAACAGCTCCGGGTGCACGGCAGAGGGTGTGTCGGGCTGTGTTGTGGATCTAAATAATTCCCCTCTCTTTCCCAACGTCGTTTTTGCCTTTTGCCCTTCCAACCCCAGTTCTTAGCTGCGGAAACTGCTTCTGGACTGAGGCCTCTGCAACCGATCCCCAAAGTCAGGAAGAGCCTGGGTCTGGGGTCCTTTCGGTGGCGCGAGATTCCGCGTCCCCTTCCGGAGCTGGGTGTTTAGCTCAGGGCCTGGAGCTGACCTTTGCCTGGAACTCACCAACCGGTGGCTCTTTACTCTCTCTCTGGTCCTTTCTGCTTGCGGTAGAGGAAACCAGGCCCTACATTCCCCATGGCCCCAGTCAATCCTAACAGGACGCGGACAGTGCCTTGTAGACTTGTGTGAGGACTGTTTTTCAGGACTGGAAACTGCAAAAAACAACACGTTTGTCCTAATCTCACAAATATTTTTGAAGATGGAAAACATAAGAATTGCTTTCTATTCTCCTCTTCGTTTCCCTTGTCTTCTATGCTTGTCAGGCACTGACTTAGGGAGAGCCAGGAAGCTGAGATGACCGAGGACCTCCGATTTTCCTCGGCTGACAAGTTTCTACCTTTGTTCCTGAGGCCCCAAGAGGGAACCTGTTAGTAGTCTGTGCAATCTGGTAAAAATCTGATTCTGAACTCCTCACAAAGACCAACCAGTACCTACTTTTATTTTTTTCTCTACTTGTGGGGGACAAATTTGGATTAAGAAAGGATTGAAAATTGAGTTTGACTGATCATCTGGGATTTACACCTCAGACCTGGGGCCAGAATTAGCTAGACTTGGTCATTGACTACAGGGCTTCAAAAGGTATTGTTTTTCAGTATGAATTCTAAAAAGGAATGAAAATTTCTAAACATGTTTCCTATGGTAAGAGTCATGTGTTATGTGTGTGTAAGAACGTAATTCTGTTTATCTAGTTTGGCATTTGAAATCAATTTCTCAATTATTTAGCTTCAAAATGACTTTAAAAATATATGGAGGAAAAATATTCTCCATTATACCAATGGAAACTTTCTGCTGTGGGTACAAATGGTAGTAAATTGTGTAAAATAAAGTTCTACAGATTTTCCTTAAAACACACAAACTTTGTTTATGAGCCCTCTGTAAGTTTTCAGAATTAAAGTTTTAAATTTTACAGTAACTTTTAAATTGTCCAAGATGGTAGACAAAGACCAAAGTAAATACAAATACAGCCAGGTGTGAGCATCTGGATTCAGAGTTTCATCCGTCCTCATGAACACAGTGATTGGTCACAGACTGGAGGAAGACTGAAGTGACCTATCTGTCCATTGCATCATCCTGAGGGACCTGAAGCTGTCTTGGAATCTGTGGAGATGACTGTTGGGAAAACAACAACAACAACAACAACAAAAACACAAGGACTGGCATCACTGTGTCACCAGAGTAAGGAACAGACTGGCAAACTAGATGCATGAGGAATTAAACAGCATGATTTCACTCCAGCTTCCTAAGTCACTGGATAAGATATTGCATCCTCCTTTCTACATTGTTATCCTTCATATGTGCATGTAAGAGGCCAGACTATATAATCTTGAACTCTTTATGTCTTCACTAATAGGTAGAATAAATAGGGAAATAAACCATGCAAAAGTAATTTACATCATTATATTGAAGACTTTAATTCTTTATTGAAGTTTTGCAGTCTTTGTGTAAAGTATATTGTTTGGTTTTACCACTCCTGATATGTGAAAGTGTTCATTTGACTTTACTTAATTCAGTGCAGTCCTAGTATGTTCATGCTTGGTCTTGTGAGATGTAGAAACTCTGTCAGTCCACTCCAGAGGAACTCAGTTTAAAATAAAACCTAAAACATTGTGCGTGATAAGTACATTTTCTGTTTCCTAAAATCTCAGACTATAATTCAGACATCGTAGCATTTATACGTTAATAAGTTTTAAAGACACTGCCTTCTTGGAAAAGTTATATAGTAAGTAACAATGAATAAAAGAAGTATTTGGCAGAACAAGATTTAAGAATAAGCCCTTCCCTCTGTTAATTTGGCTGATTATGAAAATGATGCTAAAGTACTGGCTGACACATAGATCCTAGAATTTATTTTGGGCAGTGGAAGCACAATAAGCTTTCACCATACAGTCACAAACCTCTTTTCTTGAATATGTGAGCAGCTGTGTGGAAGGTAGAGGAAAGGGAAGTTGCTTAAATGATTAGAGACCACATAACGTTTAGTTGGTAGTATGCATAGGTATAACTCAGATATGTGCAGGGTAGAGAATCTCACCTGAAAAACGCAGTAGACTCACTGTGAACCCTTGTATCCACAGTAACATGTTGGGAAAAGATCAATAATGTTGAACATGACCCACTGTAGATGGTAATCATCTGTGCTTATGGATGTTAAGAAAATGAGACAAAAATTTCACATTAGGGCCCTTTATTAGGACAGCCCAGAATTTTACACTTAGGTCCCCATTTTTATACACAAAGTAAGATATACAAATAAGATGAGATATGCACTTTAAAGAAGTGGACCAATTTAGCTAGATAAACAAAGACCAATCAAGCCCAATCAGAGCTCCTTTTCTAGGAATGTTCCCTACAGTTTCAGCAGGAAGGGACTTGTTTGCAGTGTAATTTCCAGATGTTAAACTATAGGAACTATTGATGTCTTTGAAATATTTAGTGGATCAAACAAGTTATACATAATCTTATTTGATGAGACATAAAAGGAGTAGATTTAGTAACAAAATTTGAGGGCTGGAGAACATAGTTCAATGGTAGAGTGCTTGTCTAGCGTATGTAAGACTCTGGGTTTGATCTCCAGCCCTGGAGGAGAGAGACAGAGGAGGAACTAAAGGAACGAGGAAGAAGTAGGGAGGGAGAAAAGGAGAAAGGGAGAATGGGTGAGGAAGAGAAAAGAAATACACTGCAGTCTTAAACCTTCGCAAAGCATATGGGGTTGTTAAAGGTTATATAAAAATAATTTCTTGACCAGAGCTGCCCAAATTACTCAGCTGCAAAGGCACCACGTGTACCTCAGGCTCCAGGATTCTGCATGTGGAGGTGTGTTCCAAATTCAGTTTTATATAAAAGAGTGTTAATGGGACCCCTGTTTTATACACAGCAGAGTTTTGCAATGAGTGACACTCACTTGGAATTTAGGGAAAGTACACAGATTGTTTTACCATACCTGATAAGGTTATGTGACATTATTCTTCTACAAACTCTCCTTCAGTCTCCCTTCAGTGATCCTGCAGTTCCCTTTATCAGTCTCCATGGGCTCAGTGACCTTTCTAGGGTGCTCTGAAGGCAAATCGAATTGGATAAAGGGGTCTGTCCTTCTGAAACATTTCTCCATTCTGGTGCTTGCTATCTCTCTGCTTACTAGGCTTTCAAACCTATTGATATCTTCTACATTTATTACCACTTATCCAGTTCTCTTTGTCTATTTAAAATTTTGTGTCCTTTTATTACAGTAGTTTTTAGAGAAAAAATAAATACCATTTTATGCAAAGGTACATATATGAAAATATAGATACCCTTGTGTGTGTAACAGGTTTGACAAAATTTTAGTCCTGTAATCCCCACTCTAGGTAGGCTGAGGCAGGAGGATTGTTGCAAGTTTGAGATCAGCCTGGGCTACAAAGTAAGCTGAAGGTCAGTCTGAACTAGATAGTGAGACCTAGTCTCAAAAAAACTAAAAAACAAAACAAAAACAAAACTCAATAAGAGATCAGTTACTTAGAAGAAGTTTACTGCATAAAGGCAAATATATCACCAAAAATATAAAATTTTTTAGAATGAAACTCAAAAAGTCTGTTATGGTTTACATATAAATGTCCCCAAAGCCTCATATGCTCACAGGTGGGGCTTATGAGAGGTGATTGGATCATGAGAGTGTGATAACCAGCTGGGCATTAGCCCGCTGATGACTTTATAGCTAAGTATGTTGGGAGATGTCACTGGGGTCATGACATGGAAGGCACTGTGTCCCAGTGATGAAAATAATAATGACATAATCTAAAATAGGAGATTTTTTTGACAACAAGCATTTTGATAGCTGGAGATTCTTCATATATCTGCGAAACAGAACAGAGTCCATACAGTTCAGCATCACCCCATCCCCGGGCCCAGCACACGGGGCACATTCTTATTCTCATGTACCCAGGGTACCTTTGAGACGCACTACACTGGCTTCTCCAGACTGTGTCCAATATCAGCATTTCTAGAGCTGCCCTGAGACTCCAGAAAGAAACATGGGGAACATAGCCACACAAACGTCTGACATCTCTGTAGCTGGTGCTATAGTTTGAATGTGTCTGTGAAAAGTTCACGTGTTAGAAACTTTGTATTCAGTGCAGCAGAACCCAGGGGTGAGACCTCTG